TTCAGTTATGATTGATAGGCTTGCCTGCAGGGAGGAAAAAGTGCTGCAGATACAATCTGTCCCAACAGCTCTGCGATATGCTAATATTTTCTGCAGATGAAAGGGGAGATGTATTCAAATACCTGCCGAAATCGGCAATTAATACCAAGTGCACCAAAGGAGAGCTGACGAGGGTGGGACTGGGAGAATGTTAGAAATTAACCGGAAGCCTGTGTGTTTCAGTAATCGGCTTCCTTTCGAGTTTGATGAAGCCTTTTTTTAGGTAAACAGACTGCATCCTGGTGCGTTCATTCACACAAATGTGATGTTAGAGTGTTAAGGTAAGTTTAAGAAATGATGCTGATTCTAACAATGTTTCCTTTATTCCTCCTGCAATTGTTTTAAAATTTGTTTTTGAGAAGATTCACCTACTTAGGGAAACGAATGGACCCATCACTTTTGTCTCTCCTCCATGAGGATGTTACAGAGCAAGCAAGCAGCTTAGCACCTATAATTATTTACTAATTGCCCCTGAAATGACTCAGGCTGCATCCATACAACTCGGAGGCACTAGGGTAATCCCATAAAAGCGTGTGTTGAATCACTGATGTCCAACGCACACACTAGTCACAGCTGACTGGGTAGACCAGATGTTCCAGCATCGTGGTGCCCAGGCCTTGGAGCATTCTTTTCTTTTCAGGGTCTCTCTGGCTTGCGTGATGACACGATGGGTATGAGAACAGATAGCCTGGGGCTTTGGATTTCTGTTTTTCTTATGTTCCTTTAACTGAATTCGCCATCCTTATTTTCTAGTCTTCGACTAAACACAGTTTCCTTGTGTGCCAGGAAAAGGCTCTGCATTTATGTTTTTTGTTTGTTTCGTTTCCGTAGCACTGGAGATTGAACTCAGGGCCTTCACACTGAACTACATCCTCACCCCCACCCCCACTTTTATTATTTTGAAGCAGGATCTCGATAAGTTGCCCAGGCTGGCCTTGGACTTGGGATCCTCCTGCCTCAGCCTTCCATGGTATTGAGGTTCCAGCCATGTGCCACCGCACCCAGCTTAAGGCCTGGCATTTACAAACACACATCATGTTCTCAGACGAGTCACAGTGGCTCCTACTCCTCAGTAACCTCATTCACGGCTCACAACTGGCCCTCACCCACCGTCAGGGCAGAGTGGGCTTTTCTTTCTTCCTTAGCTTCTTCCTTCTCCTCCACCTCCACCCCATGTATGAGTCAACTGATGATAAAACAGTAAAAATACAGAAGGTTTGTTACCCTGGCCACACACTGGACCTTTGCTTTCCCCCTTTTCCTCCCTGGCAGATTCCTCCCCTCCAGAAGTGGACAGGCTAAATCTCAGGTCTTGGGCTTGGCTACCACCCCAGGATAGAGCTGGGTCCCCCAGGGTAGGCAGGGAGCTGGGAAGGCATGGGAGAGAGTGGAGGTCAGAGACGGAAGAGAAGCAGTCACCTAGACATCGTCCGAAGTGGGTACCGGTGGGTGAGAGACGGCCATGTGGTCCTCAGGGATGCTGTACACAGGCTGCTCATAGAGGTGAGGGGTCTGCCTTTCAGCCTGACCCAGTGTCTCCCTGGCTGGGTACCCTTTCCCACAGAGGCCCTGAGAGGCAAGGCTGCCTGGTGGTTAAGGCAAGGATGTTGGAAACAGGCTTCGATGCAGCTTCTCCACCCACCAGCTGGCCCCTCTGTCAACCAGGACCTCTGTGCCAATATGGGATGGCAGCTACACCACCTCGTGCCTTCTCCTGGGAATGCAATGATTTGTTATTTGTTTAATATTTTTGCGGTACTAGGGGTTGAGCTTCTGCACTGAGCTACATTCCTAACCCTTTTTTCATTGTTCAGTTTGAGACAGGATCTCACTAAAACACTAAGTTGTCCAGGCTGGGGTCAAGTTTGAATTCCTCCTGCCTCAGCCTCCCAAGAAGTACTTGGAACTCCTAGTAAGTACTCAATCCATGCTGGCTGTTGTTATCACTAGAATTGGAAAAATCCAGAAAATTGCATTTGTGTCCTGAAGATGATGCTGGCTGCCTTCCTGAGCCCGTCAGTCCCTACTCTCTTCTCCTTTCTAACACAGCCTCCCATCTTCCCCCTTGTTCAGACAGCAGCTTTGCTGGGGTGGCCAGGGGTCCACATGAGGGAATCCGGTGGCCATATCACAGCTGGCCAGGGTTGGTCCAGGGTTGGTCCGTGGTTTGCAGGGACCAGTTCCATTGGCAATGATCAGTTTGGGTGTGGGACACAATCTGGGCCGTGAGATGTGAAGAGGAAGGTTTCTGAAGACTCATACTGGAGGAAATTGCTCCTTAGGAGAAAACTGACATTGAAGTATCTGCATGTCACACCTAGAGTGGTGGCAATACCTTGACGACCCGAGGAGAGATAGGCTGGTCAGCCCTGCAACCTTAAGCCTCCTGATTCCTTCTTGAGGGGGACTAGAAGTTCCTGTTGTCAAAGCCGGTGAAGCTGAGGTCGTATCCTCCTCATAGGCCTGGTGTCGGGAAAAGCTTGCTTCGTGAAGGGTCCTGCAGGAGAGCCAGCTCCACAAACAGGGCCGGAGGGGCACTTAATGACTTCTGCATTTGAGGGGCTTGGCTTGTATTCTTCTCCTTCATCGCTGTAGCTCCAAGTAACTTGTCCTGGAAGCAGCAGGACCCTGATCTCTCCAGATCCCTCTGCCTCAGGGGACCAGCAGCTCTGGAGTCAGTTTGGGCTGAGGCCCCAGTGGGGAACAAAGGAAAGCATAGAGTCACAGGGTGCTTGTAACAGAAAGCAAAGGTCAAGGGGATGAGGAGGAGCCAGGCAGCAGGGCTCAGAGTGACACTGAGTGGAGCCTGGGTGCAGAATCTACTGAGGATACCCTGAGATCCAGCAGGCTGACAGCTTCCTGCTCCCCCCATGCTGTGGGAACCTGGGAATTAGCAGCAGCTCTTTCTGTGATGCCCTGCAGTGCGTCACTGAGGACAGAGGTGAGGCCTGGGGGTCACTTCTTGTGACACTCAGAAGCTGAGGCTCAGAGCACCCAGGGTTACCAGGGTAATGAGCAGGAATGGATTGTAGGCTGAGAAACCTGGCTCCCTGCACAGGAAGCAACTAGGAAATACAACCATTGGGGTTCAAGCCTTTTGGGGTCCCAACTACTAATTACCTGTTGGTTTAAGAAGGTGAGGCCACCTGTGCATCAGCAAAGTCTGATCCCCCCAAATTCCAAGGCAGCCTCATTCTCATCCCAAATGGTCCCCACCCCGGGCATTGACGACACAGGTATGGAGACAGCCTGGCCCCGGCGGTTTCTAGGTGTCCTGCAGGTGCAGGCTGAACCATAAAGGGGCCACTGCTCACAGCCAAAAGTGGCAGAGTATAGGGTCACTCTGCTCACGTTGGTTCTTATTTGGAGAAGAGGGGTGAGCTGTGCTGCTACCTCTGCCTCAAAGGGAGCTGTAGGGAGATGCATAATCACAGCACTGGCAACTGCTCAATGCTCCAGGTGCTTATTACTGGGTATTTTTAACCATTCAACAGCCATTGGAGGCAACAGATGAAGAAATCCAGTGATGAGGCCGCCTAGCTGGTAGATGGCAGAGCCCCAGGATGGAATCCAGGTCTGAGATCTACCCCATCTCCCCCTACCTGGCTGCCAGAGTCAGGGGGTAGGCAAAAGTGGGCTGCTGTATGTGCGGGCTGGACCGAAGGGCTGAGGAGACGCCCGCGCATCTGGGGTGCAGCACTCTCATCAATGGCTCCTTGGCCTCCACCTGTCACCTGTCCTCCCAGGAAGAGCCAGGAGAACGGCCTTCGACTCCACCCTTACCTGGGGGAGACTTTCTGTGGGGAGAGGCTGGGCTAAAAGGAATTCAATGAAAGGCCTGACAGCAAGGGAGTTTGGTTTAAGAGTTAGTCATTGCGGACTTAGTGTTGGTCATTTACAATCCCAGCCCAGGTCCATTTGCTGCATGTGAAAGACGATGCTTCACTATCGATCTGCAGTGACACTGCTGTTCAGACAAACGTTAATAAACAGCTGACTGTCCTGGGAGGATTTCACAAATAAAAGACCTGTACCAAAAATAGTATTACTTGTACATAGATTTCTAATAGACTAACCAGTGGACTACAACAGAAGAAAGGGATAATTATGTCAGGGTTCCTACTGATACCAACTATAATGAAACAGGTTTTTAGGGACATGTAATGCTATAAAAATCATCATATTAAGAAGAATTGTCTGGCGTTAATGGTCGCAGCCAGGAAAGTTGAAACAAACATTTTGTGGCTCTGTGGTTATTTTTCATTTTGAAATGTATGAAAGTCTCAGAAGAGTTCAAAAAAGAAAGAAAATTTGTCACATTTCAAACCAACATATTGCATCAAATAAATTAAAACATGATTCTCAAACTGCTTGGGTAAGTGACAGGCTCAAATGCATTTTAAAAAGGTGTCTGATTCCAAGCCCTGTGTGACACTGCCATCTCCTCCCCTCTTGAGCTACACGACCAGACCTAACCATCGTGAGCACAGGCAACGAGGCCACATGCTCTCCCTCCAAACGTGCGCGGTAGCTCCGGTGGCTATATTACTCAAGGCTTAAATATGTATCGCTTTGATTTGGCCTGGTTATTTTTACCACGCCGTTCTTGATTGGCATTTACTTCTGAAAAGCAGTTGTTTCCTCCTCCTAAGAAAAACCTGTTCAGTCTTAACACAAAAACAGAAGAGGCAGCCCTGCTAATACAGATCCAAAGTTAATGCAAATGTAATTAATATTCCAGGATTTCTGCCGGCACCATTCATCAGAAGCAATGCCATCCCAGGCGAAGCCACAGAACATAGCTTTCAGATCGGCCTGTTCTGAATCCCACTGAGCCAGACGGCTCCGACGTGAGAACTCGATGACAAGGCGCCGGGCTTGTGTTGTGTCATCTCCTGGGCTGACAATTGTGATTGACTGAGAGTGTGTGGGGAGGGAGTGTTTTTAAAGACCTCTCTTACCTTTTCTCCTATGTGGATCTCAAGTTCTTTCAGTGTCCGGCAGCAGTTTACTTCATTCCCTCCTCCCCTTAAAAATAAAAATAAAATATTTTTGTGAAAATGTTTTAATAAAACATTTGTTAAACATTAACCAAAGGGACTTACAGAGGTCACAGAGATTTCTAAACAATCTCTTTTAATATAATGACATTTATTCCCCATTGAGTAGTGTAGGAAGAAGTGGGTTAATCCATGGATGAATACATGGCTAAATGTGCTATTAGGAGGTAGCTTAGTCAGAAGGGGAGGAAATGTTGTGTCACTGAGGGCGTGGCCTGGAAGGGTATATTTCCATCCCTGGCTCCACCCTTCTTGCTGCTTCCTGGCTGCCATGATAGAAGAGCTTTCTTCTGCCCAGGTCCTTCCATGATGTCCTTCCTGCCTTGGAGCCAGCTGACCATAGTCTGAAACTGTGAGCCAAAATAACCCTCCCTCCTTTAAGTTGTAGGTGTCGGGTGTTGTGTCCCAGAAATAAGAAAGTGACAATGACTAACTTCATCTCCCTGGGACCACCACAGTCCTGACCTCACAGACTGGAAGCCAGAGGTCTTCGAAGATAAGGAGAATAAAAGTCAAATATGAGCAAGGGCAGGTGATGGGTTTAGACCCAGGTCCAAAGTCCCTCCTGCTGTCCTTGGTCATGACACTGCAGGGCTCCTCGTCCTCACAGGGGAGGACTTTACAGCTTCAAGTGCATTTGTATCATCCCCTGGGCTTTACTGAGACTCTGTCATTCACTGGTAACCGTGACAGATGGTAAATAAATAAAGTGAAATAACATCATTCCATGAAGAAAATAAAGGTCTGCCAAGGGATGAAAAGGAGACAGGGAAGATGGGATGACTCTTTTGGACAGGATGGGCAAGAAAAGCCTCGGTGACCGAGTGTCATTGGAATGGAGACCCAGGAGCCCAGGGGGCACGGAGCTCTCCAGAACATGCAGAGGGAATGTGCCGCCAAGCACGTGGCACATCCAGTGCCAGCAGGAAGGAAGCAGGGAGGCTAGAGCTGGAGGATCAGGGGGTGTCTTGGCTAAGTTCAGGCACAGAGGAAGAAGCCAGCTGCAGGGCCACTCTCTGCCATATAAGGATCTGGACTCCAAGCTAAGGGCAAGAGGAACCATCAGAACATTTTACATAGAAATTACCTTCATGTTACATAGGAGGCCCTACGGCTCAGAAGGGTTAAGTCCTCTGCCCAAGTTAAAGATAGGACTGGTCAGTAATCCAAGTCTCATCATAATATGCTAAATGTAGTATTTTAGTATTGTTTTAATGATATATTCCATAGATGCAAATCACCATAACAAACTGTTATGACTGAAATCTGGGGTGTCCTCCACGAATGTGGAAAATGATCAGATCATGGGAGTGCTATACTCATCAGTTTAGTTCATAGCTGACACACTGTCAGGAGGCAGGGCCTAGCTGGAGGCAGGTCACCAGGGGTGTGGCCTGGAAGGGTGTGTCTCCCTCCTGCCTCCTCCTTTTTCTCTCTGCTTCCTGACCACCATGATGCGAGCAGCTTTCCTCTTCCTAGGCCCTTCCATCATGCCATTTCTGCCTGGGGGCGAGCTGACCATGGACTGAAACCTCTAAAACCATGAGCCTAAATAAACCTTTATTCAGGTCGTGGGTGTTGGGTGTTGTTTCTCAGCAATGGGGAAAGTGACTGAGACACATAGGTTTGAGAGTTAAGAATAAAAATCAAATGCCTATGTAGCCACCACCCAACTGAAGAAATGGAACAGTAGAGGAGATTCAGAACTCCAGCAGGCCTTGACTCCCCAGCAGCACCTCCTCCCTTCCTCCACCCCAGCAGGCCAAGGGGCAGTGGGGCCCAAACTGCAGCCCAGCATCTCCCTCCACCCACACTTCCCTTCAAGGTGGCCCCCAGCCCACCTCTCCCTGCAAACTCTGTCTCAGTCTGTGCTGCAGGAGGACCTCATCTGTAACTACCTGTTGTCAGATGTTACTTTAGCAACATCAGGTTTCTGTAGATTAGTATTGAATTGTATGTCCTTTAAAATCCTTTTCGCTTTTAATCTTTCATGCTTATAGGTTACAGGTTATAGTATTTAGGTTTTTCTCTTACTGGGCTTTTCTAGTTGTTGTCTAGTCAGACAATCTTTGTCTTTTAAGCAGAACATTATTATAATTAAGTGCCTAAGTCACAAAAATCTATTTTGGGGCTGGGGATTTAGCTCAATGGCACCTTGCCTGCCTGGCAAGTGCAAGGTCCTGAGTTCCATCACCGGTACCAAAAAAAAAATCTATTTTGTCTGAAATTAACATAGCTTCTATCACTTTCATTTCTTTTTGTATGATATAATTGCTTTTCCATCATTTTTCTTTCAATGTACGTAATTCTTTTTATTAAATGTTCTTTTATTTTTCCAAAGCCAGCAGCTGGAATTTTTATCCAATCTGATATTCTCTGTCTTTTAACTAGACTATTTAATCCTTTTATATTTAGCATAATTTTATAATGTGCATATAAGTATAGGTCTATAAATTTGTTTTGTGTTATTTGTTCTAGATTATTCTCTTCTTTCTTAATCTTCTTTTAGATTGGGTGTTTTTAAAAATCATTTCTTTTTTTTCCTCTATTTGGAAATTAACCATTTTGTTTCTATTCTTTGGCAATTATCCTAAATTCAAGATGTGAGTACACATTTTCATTGCTCAAAGTTAATCAGTATCTCTCTCTGCTTCCCTGCTAATAAATGGAACTTAGAAGACCTTAACTCAATTTATCTACTCTCAGTTTTCTATTATTTAATATTTTAATTGTAAACATTTTATCGACACATACAGAAACTTTGTAGCCATTTCATAGAGCCTGCAGTTGTTTCTTTTACTCTTGTGTTGCCAACTTTTTCCTCTTCACTCCTAACATCCCAAACCATCCATCTGGGATCACTTCCCTTTTGCCATGACCATTCCTCGCAGCCAAGCTCTGCAGGAGATGAACTACCTTGGGTTTTGTTCCAAACAACCTAACTTTTAAAGAAGCAAAAAATCCTTTAGTAAATTAACTTTTACCATAAAAAATCAACAGAGTGCCAATACTATGAGTAAACAATGTCAGAGACTGAAGAACTGATAATAAAGAAGTTTGTATAGTTTCAGTCTCCTTTTCACCCTAGGAGGATCTGAAATAATCACACAAATGTGTAGGAGCAATGGGCAAACTCTAATGTCAGTCTTTTGTGATGATTTGGGTACTAACATATATCACATTTTTGGTGAATCCATTTATTCCATGGATGTTTTATTATGGATATACATGAATCATAGCAGATATATGCAGGCAGTTCACAGTCATTAAGTCTTCGGCCACAGGCATCAAAACTTTTCAGAAACATCATTTTGAGTGGCAAGCTGCTCTCTGTGGTTCATCACCATGCATGAGATAGGCAGTGATGTAGGAGCAGTTTACCATCACTGCCAAAGTACTCATAGAGGCTTCCAACTTCCTGTCTGGGAAAGGTGCAGAGGACTGATTCACATAAACAACTGCTCAGAGGCCGCAAGTGAAAGGAACTTTTTGATGAAGTCAACGAGTCCTTGGATCATTCACATTCAGTCTACAACTGCTTCTTTGTTTCATTACAGGGGTGTCTCTCACAGCCTTTAGTAGGAGGTCAGTTTTTTCTTGATGTCACTGGCACCTTCCTCTGTCCCCAGTGAAGCTGCAGCAGAAAAAGAGCCCTCTCTTTTTGTTTCTTTAAATATATCAGATGCTCCATTTAGATCATCTCTCTGATAGCTCCAATGTTTCAGGTGTTTGGACACAGGATTCTACTGTATGTTGTACCTACTGGTTAGCAGTTCATTCTTTGTCTCTTTGTATGTTTTTAAGATTGTGTGTGTGTGTGTATGTGTGTGTGTGTGTGTGTGTGTGTGATCTGATGTTACTTGGCACTTTATCTGTACGAACTCTTTAAGAGCTAGCTTGCAGATACATCACTCCTCTATGGAAGGCACATGTAGTCTAGAGCCACTTTTAAATAAATCTCTAGTCTCAGACTTTTCAGACCACACAGGTGACATTAATTCAGACACAGACCTACATGAAAATCAACTTGCAATTACAATTTTTCCCCTAGTCACTCAATGCCAGTATTGACACAGGCAGGCTTCCGGTTGCGCTCTTCTGTTTGTAATTATTTGTTCACGAGGGTGCACCTGCCCCGGCTTCGTAGGCAATGCCCCTCTGTTAGCATCTTCCACCTGGGGCCGTCCCCTTAGGCTTTGTCTCTTGTGCCCTTTAAGAGAGCAACTTATCCTTTTCATCTTAATCATTAGATTAAGCTTTCACAATAGGCAACACAAAGCCCCTCCTGCTTTCAATTTTTCCAGCTGTTTAGTTTTTCCAACAAAGACTATTTAGATGAGGTTATTATCCACGCAACAATGTTATCCCACACCTGGGGATGGTTTTAGGTCAAGAGCATGAAGATATAGTCTATAAAGCAACAGCCATTATTTTGAATGAGCCTGGAAATTAGCCCATGGCTTAAGGTGTCTTAACTAAATAGCACACAGATGTTTCAGACCACAGAGTGTGCCTTAGCCCATTTTCTGTTGCTATAACAGAATACCTGAGACTTGGAACTTAATTTTTTAAAAAAGTATATTTGGGTCTACAGCTCTAGAGACCTGAAAGTTCAAGACCAGGCAGCCTTTAAATATGGTCCTGTGGTGAGGGCCTCATGCTGCCGTAACACATGGCAGAAGGCAGAACACAGGGACACGCAGAAGAGAGAGGACACAAGGGGTGTCCTTGTTTTATCATAGCTGTTCACGGTGGTAATTAATGTAGTCCCAGGAGAGCAAGAGCAAGAACTCACTCACCCGAAAAAGGCATTTTCCTTTCACGAGCGCTCCACCTCCTGACTGGACCACCAGGAACACAGGAGCTCACATCAAAGTGGAGGGGCAAGGACTTTGTCATTCTAGCTAGAGATGCTGCCGTAATTATTTTTAATTGTGATTTTAAAAAGCATATGACAAAATCTACCATCTCAACCATTTAAGTGCATGATTCAGTAATGTTAGTGTGTTTGCATTGTTGCGCAAAAGACCTCGAGAATTTTTTCACCTGTAAAATGGGATCTCTATCCCCACTGAACATCAGTTCACCATTTCCCTCACTGGCCTATTCCCACACCCATGCTGTGCTGGTGATGGATTCAATCAGGACAGTGATAGCGGCAGTACCAAAATTTGCTAAAATTTCAGGATCAAATTTAATTGTCATCATTGTTTACTTCAGTTCTGAAAAAATAAAGCTTATTCATTTAGAGTCAGGTAATTAACAAATACTATGTTACTAAAACAGTATTTCCTAAATCATACAGTAGAGCCAAAGAACTTTACTTCTTTTAGAGTCATAAAGGACATCAAGGTCATACTCCAACCCCCTCATTTTTAAAATAAAACACATAAGCCCCATGCTCATGCTAAAGCCATGAAACACTAAAAGGTCATACAAGGATCATTTTTACATTTCATTTCTAGCCACTAGAACATATCACTTTCCAATGAACAACACTGACAATGTACAAAAGCCAACCAATTTAAATTTTGGCATCTTAATATTTTACTTCAAAATTAAAACCCATTATTTCAAATCTAAAATACATTGTATACAATGTATTTGCATTTGTATTTATCTGATTTTAACTTATTTTTACATTTTATGATCATACTATCACATCTCTAATTCTGAAATATATCCTATATACATGTTAGAATTTTCTCTAAGTAAAATTTTGGCTGAGGATTATGTCCACCAAATTTTATATGGACAAGCTCTACTAACCTATTTATATTAGTCAGATTTCCTATTACTGGACACAATATCCAACAGTTTGACTTGGCTCATGGTTTCAGCAGATTCAGTCCACGGTCAGCTGGCTCCCAGGCAGGAGTCAGAAGGATATGAAGAATCAAGGCTGCTTAGTTCATGGCAGCCAAGAAGCAGAACAGGGGAACAGTGAGAGAAGGGATCAGGGACCAGATAGAAACCCCAAAGTCATGCCCTCATGACCCATCTAGACACACCCAGAAGGGTGCTTTACTGATGCCCTGGGAGGTCCCAAGCCAATCAAAATGACACACTTTAGCTTAATGGTCACATCATTTTTCATACAGATACTGTTGATATGATTAGCTCTGATGGCTTTACATCATAGCTAACTCATATTTCAAATTTCCTATTTTCATATGAATGAATAAAACATTTACCTCTTTATAACATTTATATTTAGGTCAACTCCACCAAACCTGGACAGGAACTCAAGGTATGGTACATTACCAGAGCTGGTGAGAGGGATCTATACTCCAACAAGAGAAATGACACCATGTTAGGGAATTCAGATCCAAGCACTGGACCACATGGCAGGTTTCCAAATCATAGTGTAATGTAGAATATTATTAACAGAATGGCATTCTATTAAACCTTTACAATTACTTATCCAGCTGTCTGAGTTGACATGCATATGAATGTCAGTCTGTGTTCAACTAAAGTCAATGAGTTATCTATAAAATTATCTAAAATCTAATTCTATCCAGATAAATTGAAAATCTATCTAAAAAATGAAATTAGGGGAAATATATTCTAATAATTCATATATACCTTAGAAGCTGAGGCAGAATTCAATTTTTTAAAATTTTTTTTTATTTTTTTTGGTACCAGGGATAGAACTCAGGACCTTGCACTTTTGAGGCAGGTGGCAGAACCACTGAGCTAAATCCCCGGCCCTCAGAACTCAATTTTATACTCTGAGTGTCATGTGAACTTTCTGTATAGTCATACTGTTTTAGGGCAAAAAGTTATTTTTAAGTTTAAAATTCTGTAAAGGACACCATTGGATCAAGTGGGTCAATCTGAACTGGAGAGTAAATAAAAGTGTTATCTCAATGTTTAATTTACTGGAGTTGGTAAGTGTGCTGAGAATAGTTCTTATTGGGAAATATGAGATGTGACCGAAAATATGGTGTGTGTTTAAATAAAACATTACAGTAAATGACACATTGTCATTAATAACTCTCAAAATAATCCTCCTAGCTTCAAACACAGTTATCCCATTGTCCTTGCCATTTTCTGCAGCAGTTCTGGAAGTCCTCTTTCATGAGTGTCTTTAGTTGCACTGTCATGGCTGCCTTGATGTCTTGAGTCAGTTCAAATCATTTACCTTCCATGGTCATTTTGGAAGAACCAGAAGTCACCCAATGCCAAATCTAATGAATAAGGTGGATGAGGACACACTGTGATGTTTTTACAAGCCTGCTTTCCTGTTGGATGGTACTCAGCAATAGCATTCACTGTATTTCTTATTACATCTTGTAAAGACATTCACAAAAGAGGACTTCCAGAACTGCTGCAGAAGTGGCCAGAACAATGGGACAAGTATGATCAAAGTGAGGGGGAATACTTTGAGGGGGATTCATGGTAATGTGTCTTTTATTGTAATAAAATTTTTTAATTTAAACATTCACTGTATGTTTCAATCACCCCTTGTGTACACTGAATTGTTTAGGATTGAAGAGCTCAACTCAACATCTCAAATTTTTTTTTAGAAAAAATATTATATATACATGTTGAGTGTGTTTGTACACACACAGATAATGAGAAATCATAGGAGAAGCAAACAAGGTACAATGTTCATAATAGGTAAATCTAAGTACAGGTTATATGAGTATTATTTGTGCCATATGGGGACTATTTATTTATACCATTCTTACTGCAAATTTTCTAGAGGTTGAAATTATTTCTAAATAAAAAGTTTAAAATTTTAAATGAAATCAATTATTCAAAAAAGCTTTATGAATCTAGAATTTAAATAAACAATAAGTATATAAACATATAATAAGTATATATAATCAATATAAATATTTTCTATTAAGTGTCATACAGATACACAAAACGCAACCTCCGATCCAGCCCAATGGCTCCCGAGTCTATGCAATCAGGTTTGACATTTACTCAGAGCCTCGCATACTTACCTCATTATCCCCCAAAGGATTGATTTCTCTCTACGATTTAAAACATGTGTAACTAGAAAACAAGACCAGAGGGAGACTGGCTCACCAGGGGCCTCTGGAGAAGGCATTTCTTGGAAAGGATGCCCATGACTTCGTTCTGAGAGTGCATTTTTCAGTACATGTAACTTTGAGTTAACGCTTCGATGTTTCCCTCGCATTACAGAAGGACAGGAACGGATGCCACATGTGGTTCTAGGCTGGATGCTGGCACAGTTGAGATAGGAGTCGAGGAGGGAGGAAAGATGGTCCAGTACTCACCCCGCTCCTCCTCAGCAACTGGGCACAGCGTCCCCTGCAGACTGCACATGAGCAGCTCTCATGCCATCTGCAGAGGGTGGGGACTTTTCTACAGCTCAGGACCTGCCTGGCACTGCCATTAAGCACCAGAGATCTATGAATCTAGTCATCCTACTACAGCAAAAACCCTGCCTACAAAGAAAGAAAAAAACTATCAAGGGGTCCCAGCTTTCCACATGTTTCATATAGATTCTAAGGCGGCCCATAAGTCCTTGTCCTAACTGGTCTCCAAAGCTAAGCCCTTTGGACAACCAGAGAATCCTAGCCACAGGGACAGCTCTGCTTGGTGCTCAGCTTTTTGGTAGTTGTGTTTATTAATCTAATCCTCGCCAAGGTGCCTTGCTGGAAACCAGTTCTTAGATTGGGGATGGATAGGGTGGGATGGGGTTGGGTGGTTTAAAATTGGATCCAACATCTGATTAGTATCTTCCAAGAAGAATTTTTCTCTAACTGAACACAACCACTAGGCCCAGAACAGAGCTTTTTCTTTTTTCCTTCTGTGGGATCTATTTATCAATTCAACTTCCAGAGTAGTCCACGGGAACACCTAGAAAATAAGGCCGCACTTAAAAGTACACAACACCAAAAAAAAAAAAAAAAAAATCACACAACACCCATTAATTTTAATGGAAAGGAAGGAAATGAATGGAAAGGAGGCAGGATACAGATGAAGTTTCCTATTTCTCCTTGCCCTAAACAGCCATGAAAACGCTCTGCCATCAGAACTTGCCTGCCTGCCCTGGCCACTGGAACAAAACTAAAGGAAATTCAGAGAATTTTTGGAGAGATCTTTCCTAACTGTGAGGGTGAATTCCCATGAAATCTTTTACTAGATTGTGACCTTCCACTTGGGCTTCCATTAATCTCTGAGAAAGTTAGTGTCACCAGGTGGATTTGTCATAGAAAGATTGAAAGAAGCCACTCTGTACAGCCCAGGGACAGAGCAGGGATGGTGACCCTTCATTTCCATGACCTTGGCCTCTTATAAAACCACCACAGCCCCTGGCCAACCCCAGGCCCCAACTGGCCCACAGGTCCCTCGACCTGGGGCTCCGGAGAAGCATAGCATGCCTGTCCTTCCAGCAAGTCTGCCAAGACCTGCTCTTTCACAAGTCTTTGAAGTTCTTCGGTGCTCGGTGACTTCTTTGAAAAACAGATGTAGCTTTTAAAAACAGATACGCATTTCATATTTTTCTGTACTTTTTCTCTTCCTGCATAGCTGATTAACTTGGAAGGATTGTCAAAATTTTAAATTCATATTAGATCATTGCTATGAGGACATGGAGCAGGAAATAATATTTTAACTCTCCATTTGGCATCATGTGTCAGCTACATCAATTCTCCAAGGAACCAGAGGCAATGTTTCACATGAGGACAAATGGTCTTTAGAAGGAAGTAAAAGAATCTGACCTATGAGTCAGCAATTGCACTCTGAGGTGGGCGCTGAGAGAACTGGAAACAGGGCTCACACAAACACTTGAACATCAGTGGTCACAGCCCAGCCACAAAAGTCAGAAAGTGAAAACAATTCAAAGTCCATCAGCTAATGAATGGGCAAACACAATGTTCACACAGTGGACTGCTCTTTGGCCATAAAAAGAATGAAGGATTGGTTTATGCTACAACATGGGTGAACCTAGAAAACATACTGAAAGAAGCCAGATGCAGAAGATCTTGTATTGTATCATTCGTTCATATGAAATATTTGGATTCTACAAGGGCAAACAGGAGATTAGCTGTTTTCAGGTATAGGTAGGAGAAAATGGGAGTAACTGCTAATGAGTACAGGGCTTCTTTTTGGGATGATAAAATGGTTCTCAAATTAGGTAGTAGTAATATATTCACAAGCATACACCTGGGTGTGGTGATGCACCCCTGTCATCCCAGCACTCTGGGAGGCTGAGGCAGAAGGATGCCAAATTCAAGCCCAAACTGGGCAGCTTTGTGACTTAGCAAGATTCTGTCTCAAAATAAAAAATGAAAAAAAAAACAAAAAACAGCTGGAGATTTACTCAGTGCAAAGTCCCTGGATTCAATCCCCAGTACCAAAATATAAGTGAATAAATAAAAAATTTTAAAACACTGATTTATACATGTTAAAAAGGTGAAGTTATTATATATAAATTACAAACTTAAAGCTGTTGTTAAAAATGGAGATAACAGATGAGCTTCAAACATTTATAGCTAAATGGATGTACATTGAGGTGATACTCCGAAGTGAAATAAATTGGACACACACGTTTAAATACTGCATTGTTTCTCTGGTGTGAGAAACTGAACATGGAAATAAGGACTAAAATGTAACAGATAAAAAAATGTAACAGATATTAGGAAATGGGAAGACAGTGTTCAAATGGGAAGGGGAACAAGGGAGGAGGGAGGGAGGGAGGAAGGAAGGAAGGGACAAGAAAAGAAGTGAAAATAGAAGGAAAAATGGAAACAAAGCTTTTGTACACAGGGAGGGGAGGGGACTTGAGAGGGGACTGGGATAAAATAACATAAAATTTATTTTTAAAAAACAAAAATAAATAAAAATGGAGATAACGGGCCAGGGATTTAGCTCAGTGTTTTCGCCACCTACTGCGCAAGCGCAAGGACCCGAGTTCGATCCCCGTACCAAAAAAAAAAAAAAAAAATGGAGATAACAATAAAGGGTGGCATAGAAAAAAAGCAATGTGTTTTATTTGTGCAATTCTAGGGGCAAATAAAAGGAAAACATTTAAAAAGGGAGGAGAAAAGTTATTTGTCTCCCTTCTCCATCCCTAAGGCACCAGTGCTATAGTTGTCTGAGGGGGCAGAGGAGAACAGTGTCTGAGGTCTTAGGAGCCATGGTATTGAGAAGGGGCCACGGGGTGAGGGTGGCATTGTCACAGCGAGTGCAGAGGGCGACAGGAAGTGCTGGTGGTAAGAGATGAGTCACAGAACAGGAGATTGATCAAACAAGCAAACACACCAAAGATAACAGAAGAAATTTCTCACTCCGTGAGGGCAG